CGTCCCATCCACCCCCCCCCCCCCCCCCCCAAAAAAAAATAATTGGGTTATACATACAATTTAAGGAGAAATAAGAAGCTGATTAGCCGTCAGGGGTTATAGCGATTCCCAGCGTCGGTTTCCCTTGGCACCGGACTGAGCCCCATTGTGTCACCTTATGTTTATTTTGTTGATTTTAGGGAACAGACTCCACTGAGCATGCGGCGTATATTTTTATATTCTGATATCACGGCCATACCTATCCAGAGCCCAGGCAGGGTCCTTCTGTCATGGCAGGTCCACCTGCAACAACACAGTATAGAGCCGGGGAAGGCAAACTCAGGCCCTCCAGCTGTGGTGACACTACAAATCCCATTATGCATCTGGGAGTCATGCCTGTGGCTGTCAGAGTCTTGCAATGCCTCATGGGACTTGTAGTTGCACCACAGCGGGGGAGCCGAAGTTTGCCCGACCCTGGTATAGAGCAAAATGTATTATATGTTTAGAATATAATTCTGGTGTAAAGATGGCTGTTGGATCACCATAGAGAGTGAAAAGTGATTAAAGTGAAGAATACCCCCCTCCCGACACCATGCAAAGAATAAACACACAACCTGACACCCTACCAAACATCTACCCCCCTCAGCTGCGAATGCCTATTGGCTGCATAGGCAGAGCTGAAGATTTTGAATAAGCGTGCTGGAATCTGGATGTTATAACACATTATGGCCACTAGATGGAGCTGAGGAGTCATGTAATACCACATTATGGCCACTAGGTGGAGCTGAGGAGGAATGTAATACCACATTATGGCCACTAGATGGAGCTAAAGTGCAATGTAATATCACATTATGGCCACTAGATGGAGCTGAGTAATGTAATACCACATTATGGCCACTAGATGGAGCTAAAGTGCAATGTAATATCACACTATGGCCACTAGATGGAGCTGTTGAGTCATGTAATACTTCATTATGGTCACTAGATGGAGCTGATGAGTAATGTAATACTTAATTATGGCCACTAGATGGAGCTGAGTAATGTAATACTTCATTATGGCCACTAAATGGAGCTGAGGAGTCATGTAATACTTCATTATGGCCACTAGATGGAGCTGAGGAGTAATGTAATACTTCATTATGGCCACTAGATGGTGCTGAGTAATGTAATACCACATTATGGCCACTAGATGGAGCTGAGGGGCAATGTAATGTCACATTATGGCCACTAGATGGAGCTGAGGAGTAATGTAATACTTCATTATGGCCACTTGATGGAGCTGATGAGTAATGTAATACTTCATTATGGCCACTAGATGGAGCTGATAAGTAATGTAATACTTCATTATGGCCACTAGATGGAGCTAAAGTGCAATGTAATATCACATTATATCCACTAGATGGAGCTGAGTAATGTAATACCACATTATGGCCACTAGATGGAGCTAAAGTGCAATGTAATATCACACTATGGCCACTAGATGGAGCTGTTGAGTCATGTAATACTTCATTATGGCCACTAGATGGAGCTGATGAGTAATGTAATACTTAATTATGGCCACTAGATGGAGCTGAGTAATGTAATACTTCATTATGGCCACTAGATGGAGCTGAGGAGTAATGTAATACTTCATTATGGCCACTAGATGG